AAGCATAAATTCACAAAATTAGCGCCGCAAATCAGTGCCAATTAATTTTTATTTTTAATAAAAAAAAAGCTTAAAAGCGAAGATATCCAATGGTTCTTGGGGACTCATCAAGAAAAATTATCAAAAAAGTTAAATGTGAAAGTAAGTCGATGCTTTTCCAATTGGACAAAAGGGCTAAGATGGAGTTATTGAGTAATTATAAAAACCAAAAGAAAGAAGAAGAAATGAAATTAGGGTTATAAGGAGCTTACATTTTAGAGACGCAGAGTACTGAGGATAACACTGAGAATCAGAGATTCTAGCAGCGCTTGGATACGGCGGTGTTGACGCTTTCGATGCCATTGTTTGCTTCTCCTACTCTCTCTCTCTCTCCCGGTCTATCTTTGAAAATAAGATTAATTGCAGTTTACCCCTCTTATAGTTCAATTGCGTCAGTCAAGCCCTTCATATTTTATGTTATTTCAGTATGAACCTTTTGTTCAAACTAATCCACCCAACATAATAAGTGGAAATTACTAAAACAAGCCTCAAAATGAGACTTTATTTTATGAGAGACTTATCAAATGAGACTTTATTTTATGAGAGACTTATCAAATGAAATTGGGAGAGAAGAAATTCAAACGATGTTTTGTAGGAGACTTTTGTAATGGTTCAGTTTGTCCTGCTTGTCAAACGACATTGGGAGAGAAGAATTCAAATTTGAGTATCCTTCAATGTAAAAGTTAAGCGATTTTACAAAGATTTAGACTTTTTCATTCCTTATCAATTAATTTTGAGTTAAATATTCATTCGAACTCATAGCATGGAAAACAAGTTAGGGTTATTAATGATATGGACCATAATTTTGATCGGACAGGTTGGCCATGGCCACCACAATCATGAATATATTGTCAATTTTAAACAAATTAGGGCCCATGCAGTGCAGATAAATGGAAACATACAAAGAAACTTGTTTTCGATTACATTTTTGCTTCATTTTTTGCACGAGTTACCATGGCGAAATGCTCTAAGAAAAATGTATCCAACAATTTGTATTGATATAGCACAAGACATTGCCACATCACAAGAAGGTACCCAACTATTTTATTGCATAAGCATAACACATGATCAGCAAAAAAATTTAAAACAAAAATACAATTACAAATACAAAATACTTGAAGGCCCTCTAAACTAAACCCCAAACCCGTGATATCCACCACCAAATTGGCCACCCTGAGCACCAAAACCATTTGTCATCATCGGCATGTGACAAAGCCGATGAACTGCCGGTACGGGCGGCAGCGCCCCCGGTGCCAATGTCCCATTCAGAATTCTCACCTCATGAAGCCTAGCAGCCACCTTCTTTCTCACATCCTCCAATGACATCAAGTAATGCTCAACTTCCTGCACATCTAACACATCCAAATCAACACTCTCATCCTCCCACCAAAACCTCTCACCACACCCACCCACCACCCCCATCACCATCTTCTTCATCCTCACAGCCTCTTTCACCTCCGCAACCCTCCTCTTCTGCTCCTCCAACTCTTTAATTGCCTCCATGTACTCCTTGTTGAACTCCGCCATGGGCACTCTATTAGGGTTTTGGTCTCCTGCGGTGTCATCAGACACGGCAGAAGGAGCAACCCCACTACGGTAGCACTCTAGCACTGTCTCCACATTCGGGTGCCCGTAGCAGAACACTTTGCCCGCGGTGGAGAAAACAATGACTCCCACCTCAGCGCCGCACAAAACGCTCAGCTCCGCCGCCTTTTTGAATATTCCAGAACGGCGCTTGGAGAAGGTGACTTGCTTGTTGTTGAGATTCTCGAGCTTCTTGATCTCGATTCTCTTGCGGCCTTGGGTCCTCTTGGGAAGTTTTCTCAAGATCACCATGGTGACAATATCTGGAGATCAAAGATCAAAGAGAAAGGTTATAAAAATAACTTTTAAGTTCATTTTGGAGAGTTTCTTTGTGGGTGTATATATATATTATAATTTTGTTTGACTTTGCAGCTAATCAATTTCTCAATTTTATTTTTATTTTTTCGGGGAATTAAGTCCTAAAATTTTGTAATTTATATAAGATTGATGATGAGGATGATCTTTTCATGACGATCAGTCTACGTGCATGTGTGATCTTAATTTGTGAAATTATATACCAAAAAATCAGCATAAAAGATTCTTATATTTTACCAAAAGGAAAATTAATTTGAATTTGAATTATGGAACTAGTTGTATTTAATTAATTTCTACCTTGTAATTAACCAAAATTTCTTACGATTATTATTAGGGCATATTAATTTTAGTTTTGAGTGTATATAGGTAACTTAACTTTCAAGCGCTTGTATTAATATATTTTTTTCCGTTACGTATCTTAATATGTTTGACAAGAAAAAAAAAACCAAAATTAAAACAATTAAAAGATTGTGGTTCTGAAAAATAATATATAAATAAAAGATTGTGAATCTGTGTAATAATGAGACAATGAGCAATAATAAGCCTAGAAGATTACGGCCTAATTCCCACAATAGAATATTAATTAATTTAATTGATCTTTTTCTTTCAAAAAAGATTCTAGTTTATCATTTTATGTTTGCTAAAACCCCAAAAAAAAAAAACAAAGTGTAGGAAATATATATGTTACCCCAAAAAAAAAAGGCCAAGTCTGTTTTTTCTTTCACTTGCACATCTATAATATTTTTCTACCTTAAAACTTATGTGTAGTGTCCTAAATCTAATTAAGTGAAAACGAGCTTGTTTGTGTATATATTTACACGCAAAATTGTGCAATTACCTCATAAACTTTTCAAAAATTAAACAAACACCCCAACAGAACAATGAGAATAACAAAAATTGAAGGGAAAAAAAAAGTGAAGATTAGTGATAGTTCGTAGGTTATTCTTTGGTCTTTTATTTGTAGGGTATACCTATCTTATCTAAAAAAGAACTGCAAAAATTGGTCTAAAATTAGAAAACAGGCTTTACTGAGGAGAATTTGTTTTGGGCAAAAGAGGGCCCAAGACAAAGGCTTTTACCCATGTTGCCTTTGGGCCAAACAATCAGGAGACTTGATCTACAAGATTATAATCTTTGTTGCCCAAATTTGAAGTTAATTTGAATTTTGAAGTTCAATTCCATCCAATAATTTCTCCAAGACAAGATGAAGTGTAATGACTTAAGTATCTATTTCATAACAAAACAATCCCATCATTTTTATACAAAAAAAAAAAGCTAAATAACAATTATTTTTAATCCGACAATCCGCCTTACCCTCTCTCTCCTTCTTCTCCTTTTTTTTTTTTTTTTTTTTATCTATTCTCACATTTGTGTCTCTCAAAGGAAAAGAAAAAACTATTTGGTATGAGCTCATGCATAGAACTTGTCCTTACAAAACCGGTATGAAAGAAATAGTGTCTAGAGATCATATACCATCTCAAGACACTTAACCTAACACTAGACTTACAAGTCTCCACAATTCATCCTCGTGTTTGGTAGGATAGATTGAAAAAAGGGGACTGAAAAGAGTGAAGAAATCACTAATGGGGTGTTAGTTGGATTGGCACAGGCCTTTGGTGTGTTCCCAAGTGGTCATGAGTTTAAACTCTCATGATACCCATGTGTGTGAATTTTCCTCCTCCTCTTTCCTAATTATGGCACACACAAAAAGAGTTAATAATAAATCTTAAAAATATAACTTTAATTAATTAAAAAATCTATAAAGACAGATGTATATATAATGATGGTAGCAGAGTCTTTATTTGCTCTTATTTCAAGTTCTTCTGTCTTCTTCCTCTTTCCAGACAGATATAGCGTTAAGGTGCAAATATGGGGCCATTCTTGGAATGGACGCAACCACAAGTTCAAATGGATTGGGACCTTTGGCAGTGTATATAAATAATAAATTCTTTGAAGGGGAACTAAAATCATGCCGTGATTTATCAATTACTCACCTAAGTTGACTAGCTCAGAAGTAAAGTGGAGAATTTCATTGCCACCTCTCAATCTAATGAAGACCATTTTTATTTTTTTTGGTAATATAAAAGCTCTAACACGAAATGACTATTGAAGCTAAATCAATAAAATTATTTCTACCATATTTATTATGTGACCCATTTATATTAAAGAGGTGATCAACAATGTGGTCAGTAAATGTGGTACAAATAATTGTCCTTTTTATGTTTTGACCACATGACCCAGATTCGAACTTAAATCATCATCTAATGTTATCAATAGAATGCAAACATGGACTTAGCCAAGTAGTTAGCTAGAACGGATGTGCTCTTCACTCTGCATCCGAGTTCAAATCACGCTCCTTATAGTTTAGATTAGTTTAAATTAAAATATCGCTTGTATTAAAAAAAATGTTATCAATGCCATAATAACTACTCATGGTTTTTGGGAATATGCTTGAATATGTTGAATAAAATGCTTTTGTACCTAGTTTTAGTAAAACCAAAACAAAACAAAACAAAACAAAAGGTACTATCTTGCGAGACGAGCTAGAATCAGGTTGTTATAAACTTATGAAATCCCAAATGTCCATTTGACCATAGGCCAATTGCGTCATTAACCCCATCTTCGTTGCGTCATTAACCCCCTAGTAAATTGTTAAAGCAGTAGTAGCCAAGTAGAAGGCAAATAAACACCCACATGCACTCCAAAGTCTAAAGTGCCCTATTTGATTGTGTCACCATTTCTGTAAAAAAAAAAAATCTTAAATTTTTTGATTGTGTTACGATTTTCGTGTTTGATTATGACTACGATTCATTTCCATTGTGGGTTTACCTTTCCTTTACCTCCTTTTGCCTCCATGACAGCTCAAATTAAAGTGATCTCAATAATCACCTTCTTTTCCCTTCCCCTCAAAAAGCTTCAACAAATTTTGTACAACCACCATCACATAATGAGAGAGAAACACTGAGACAATTGGGTTCCAGGAAAAACATCGAGAGAGGGAGAGAGAGAGAGAGAGGTTTTAATTGCTTCATTACTTGTGTGTACATGTGTAGCCAAGCCATATGGCTAATGCTAATACTAGAACAACAACAGGAGCAGCAGCAGCAGCAGCATCAACTTCAAAGTTCATCAAATGTGTGACAGTTGGAGATGGAGCTGTTGGGAAGACATGCCTTCTCATCTCTTACACCAGCAACACTTTCCCTACTGTATAAACTTTCTTTCCTTTCTGTCAATGGTTCATTGAGTTTTAGTTCCTTACTGATTTTTCTTTCTGGGTTCATTTTTGTTTTTGAACTTTCTAATTGGCAGGATTACGTTCCTACTGTTTTTGACAACTTCAGTGCCAATGTCTTGGTTGATGGGCAAACTGTAAATCTGGGTCTTTGGGATACTGCTGGTACTCTCTCTCTCTCTCTCTCTCTCTCTCTCTCTCTCTCTCTCTCATGTATAATTCACATGCTCAATGGGAATTTTGATCCTTGGTTGCTAGCTTGTACTTCAGATTTCTGTCAATTTAGTTATGCTTGACATGTAAGTGGAGATCAATTGTTTACTACAACAAAGAAAAACATAAAAATGGTATTTTTGTTTGATTTTATCATCACCAAAAGTTATCTGCTAATTTGTTTTGATTTATTTCTCAAGTTAAATTGGCTTAAGTCTGCATCTTTGAACCTCATGTCAATAGAAAGAACAAACCATGCAAAAACCTTCCATAGAAAGAACCATGAATCCTTAGCAATGAAACGAAGCAGAAAGCCTTCTTCAAAATATCAATAAGTGATATTTATGGAATGTTATATGAAGATAAATAAAGGAAAATTTTTCTAGAAAAATTGAACTGGTTAAAAAAAAAAAAAAAAAAAAAAAAAAAAAAAAAAAAAAAAGAAAAAAAAATAAATAAAGATATGATTGATTATTACCAAAGCAATAATATATATCAGTCATATTCACATCTTATATTATAAGCACTTTCGCATTGATGTTTCAAACATGTCAAGTTTTTGGTAATGTGAGAAAAGGTGGTGTGAGCACTACTGCATGAGATCCTAAAAGGGCCCTGCTAGATGCAGCAATCATTATACTTCAGGTGCTATAAGGAAAGCAAAGTGCAATTTCTTCCATCAACTTAAGAAGAAAAAAGAAAAAGCAGGAAATAATGCATTTGAATGACAGCTAAATGTGACAGCAAAAACCCAGTCTCAATAAAAGTTTTCTCTTGCCTTTGAAAACCATTTTCTTTTTTACAATCTATGAAATCTTCGTATGCAGGTCAAGAAGATTACAACAGGCTGAGGCCACTGAGTTACAGAGGAGCTGATGTTTTCCTTCTTGCCTTTTCCCTCATTAGTAGGCCTAGCTATGAGAACATACCAAAGAAAGTAGGTTTCTTTATCTCTCTTCTTTATCTATTAAATTCTTCTCAAAGATTCACTTTTCCTATTTGCATGTACCTAATGCATATACTAATCAGATTCTATGCCTTTCTCTTTTTCACCTCTTGTTATGTTGGAGAAGTGGGTCCCTGAGCTGAGACATTATGCTCCATCAGTGCCTATAATTCTGGTGGGGACCAAACTAGGTAATCCATTCTTTCCACTACCAAACCCAATTTTTTCTACATTCTGCAAATTGGATTGACAGAGGTAGCTGTATAGTGTGCAGTTTCTGCATTCTCTAAATAATTGAGTATGTTTGGTTGAGAATGATAAAAAGTGAAGCATGAAACAAGAAGATTTCTTTTTATCTCTGTCTGAAAAATATGGATTTTCTGGTATGGCAGATCTCAGAGAGGATAGACAGTTCCTGATGGATTACCCTGGGGCATGTACCATCTCAACACAACAGGTAGATTTTCCACTACAGCTACTTTTTGCCTTTCCACAAACATGCTTCTGTAAAAGCTGTGGCAAAATTATTGGTCCTTGTTATTGCTGTTTGGATATTAGTAAGGCAGATAAACAAAAGAAAAAGAAAAAATGGCTTTGACTTACAAATCAGTAGTCTCATGTCCGAACTCCCGTAGCACCTTAACAGTGTGTGTGAGAGAAAACTCTCCTCCCCAATATCACTCGTATAAAAAACAAAAGAAAAAGAACAAAAGGGAATTCAAGGTTCTGCACCTCATTATAATATTATCCCAGGAACTAATCACTGAATCATGATGTACTTTTTTTTTTTTTTTTTTTTTTTTTTTTTTTTTTTTTTTTTTTGGGTGGGTTTTATTTTTTTTATTTTTTTTTTTCTAAAGCATTTCTTAAATATTTTAGGGTGAAGATCTGAGAAAACGAATAGGAGCTGTGGCATATATAGAGTGCAGCTCGAAGAAACAGCAGGTATGCCTCACATGTGCAAATGTGCTCATGAAAAGAAAAATGTGTTTCCAGTATGTAAAAGTCAATGCTTGGTCTTCATGAGGAACTCCATATGTTGAAAATCTTATTGTTAAAATTGCAGAACGTGAAGACTGTTTTTGATGCAGCTATCAAGTTGGCTCTGCATCCTCCAAAGTCCAAAAAGCAAAAGAGAAATTTGAACATCTGCAGAGTTCTTTAATCTCTCTCTCTCTCTCTCCTTGGACAGCTTCTTTGACACTTTTGTTCATTCTTTTCAACCCTCTTTTTCTTTCTGGGTGCTTCCTTCTCTTTTCTGGGAGAAAAGTGTGCAATATTCATTGTGTTCTTTCTTTTAACTTCATTATAATGTTATTGGGTTTGGGGTAAATCATGGTGGACCATTTTTAAAAATAGTATGTGCTCAAATTATCTATCAAGCATGCCAAGAAGCTTTTCCTGCCTTTCAGAACTTGTGGCTCTTTTCCGTTGGTCTGTTACCCCAGAAAAAATAGTTGGATGCCACAAATAAACATCAAAACAAAAAAAGGCCCAAGTAACTAAACTAGTCTGAAACTAAACTGTTCAAATTGGTTTGATTTGTCCAGTTTGTACCGCTATATGGGCCTATCCAATTGAAGTTCAATCACAAACTTAGCCAAATCCAACCACAACAAATTGTAAACTGCGCAGTAGGAATTAATGAACTCACTGTTGTACTGCTTAGGCAGTACTAGGCTTTTGTACTTACTTGTCCATTTCAAGACAAATAAATAGAGCTCATGTATGGCCAAAGAGATAAAAAATAAGGGAATGTTCACTAGTTCATTAATTCCTAGTTCCCACCTGTGAGCTCCGGAATTTTTTTTCTCATTTTGTTAAGCTCACTATATTAATTGCACGGTCTAATTCGAGAATTTTGTTGTTTTGACGTCATGGAAAAATAGTAGACGTTACTACGAGCATGTGGTAATTCTCGGATAATTTTTCGGAGTTTGGAGATTATTTAACTAACCACAGATTATGTCATTGTTATTTGGTAAGTAATTCAGCGGTGGGTGTGCTGTCATCCAATTACAATCTATATACGATTTAAGATTCTGGGTTTGATGATCAGGTTCAACTTCTCTGAACAACCCAAGAAATCAACCTTATGAGCAAAAGTCAAACCGTCCAACTTGACGACGAAGGCTCAAAACGACGCCACGTCACACTTAAACCATCAGTCTCGGTTGTTGCGTTGGGAAAACGACAGATCGTCCTTTCGTACACGTAAATCTGTAAAAAAAAATTACGAACTATGAGCCCATCCATCAGCCATTCACATTAAAGGAAGATTGAAGACGCAACGTAAGTGGGCATTGATGTCACCTAATAACATATCTCAACTCTCAAAAACACAAACACTCATATACATGAATTGCATATTGCATTGATCTCAACTCTCAAAATTTTGATTTATTATTATTATTTTATACGAGCGATATTGGGAAAGGGAAAATCGAACCTAAAACTTGAGGAGCGTAAATAAATACTATTAACCATTTAAACTACAAGTCCGAAAAAAAATTAATTTCTGTATGTAATGAAAAATTAAATCCACATTTTTTAAGCTTGCGACTTTACTTGTCGTGTATATAAATTTCTTTACCAACAAAAACTCAATTTATATTAAACTTGGGTTGTAGGTTGAAACATGTTAATCAGGCATGCTCAATACTATGCCAGATCTTTGAATAAATAAATAAAGTTTAAGCAATTGGAATCTCTTTTAAGATGAATAAATTAAGTTTAAGCAACATTTCTCTCAACTTTATTAATTGGTTTTAATATATATATATTTTATAATAAGTATATAGGCATTTTGGAATCTGCCAAGGAAATGGCTACCTGATATATTCTCTAACACATATGTACGGTAAAGCTTCCGATTCATTATTTTATGGATCTTTCAATTATATTATATGGCATCATTCGTGAGTGAGTTTCTCTCCAATGTTTTATAGATTTAATAACAAAAGAATAAGAAGAGGACAAATATGTGTAGGTAGTAGGTGCATCATCTCATATGCATGATTAAGGGGACCCTTTATCTTGGCATTTTTTTGTTGCAAGTGGGAGACCAACCAAGTATCCAAAAAAAATAAATTAGTATAAGAACTTTCCTTAATTGTTTAGACACAAGTTACGCACTCGCATTATCGCATATATATAAAGAAAGGGGTTTTAGACACAAGGCGGTTCAGTGGTTCTTTTCAATCATTTGTGGTTTTATAGACTTTAATGAGACATGTTTATGACTCTGAATTCAAGTTATGGACGACAATTCTTTAGGAAAAAAATAAATAAAAAGAGACCTTGATGGGAAATCAAACTAAAGCTCAATTAAGTGAGTGATTATAGAATAATGTAGTACGACAGTATGGTCACTTAATATAATTTGCACACATGTTCAAATATAAGTGAATATTTATTGATATTATTTCTTAAAAATAGAAAAATATCAATCATGTCGTTCACCCATATTATAACACGTATACAAGTTATTATCATATATATTATCATAATGCAACATAATTCACCTTTAAAATAAAATAAAAATTCAAACCCCATTTACCAAGCCCAATTTTTATTTTTATTTTTTAAACTTAATTACGTATGGTATATCTAACCAAAAAGAAAAATATTTATATCTTTTTTGTTTTGACGACAAAAATTTTAGGGGGGGAAGTTACCTCATTTCAGGACCAGAGCATACCAAGGCCTCTTTGAGGAGTTATAAAAAGAGTTTCAGCTTTTTGTTTTGATTTTTACAGATTACTCACCAAAAGAAAAACATGAACTTTATGGCGGATTAATCTCTCAAGTCTTTTTTGACCACCAAACACTAAAAAGCCCAAGCCAATAATTTACCCCTAAAAACACTATAAAGCCTTGAAAAGTTTGATGGCACCGAAGTCCCTCAGGCGCATTACATGACTATTCTACCTAACCTACTCGTTCATCCGCCTCATTCTTCTCTCCTCAGAGGCTTTGAGCTCATCCAAATGCCCGAAAACATAGCACTCTAATTTTAGAACCCCAAAACCAAAAACCAACCACGCATATACACAAAACACAACGCGCACACTCAAATGGATAATCAACCAAAACACTCCTCTATTGGATCCAATCTTGCCCTTCTCTCCTTACTCTTGGCTTGTGCTGTTTATCTTTGTATATGGTCTTCTTCATCCTCCCTCATAAACCCTCTCTTTAGCTTTCAGAAACATGATGCCCAATGCCCGTCAAAGAACCCAGTAAGTTACTTACATGCTCTTAACCGTTTGAGCTACATAGCGCTAGCCCTTGGCAGGCCTCTGCCTCAGTTTTCTAAATTGTGTTTTTTTATTTTTGTGTGTTTTTTTCACAGACCACCGCTGCATTTAATGTGGCTCCAGATGAGCTTTTGGCCACCTTAGACAAGGCCTCGATTGGCAACAAGACTGTGATCATTGCTGTTATAAACAAGGCCTACGCAGTCCAAGAGGTCAAGGCAGACACCACCATGCTTGACCTTTTCATCGAGAGCTTTTGGCAAGGGGAGAACACTAGACATCTGCTCGATCATCTTGTGCTCGTGGCGGTTGATCAGACTGCCTACGATCGCTGCCAGTTTCTGAGGCTCAACTGCTACCGGCTGGAAACGGACGGTGTTGATTTTGGGGGAGAGAAGCTTTACATGTCTCAAGATTTCATCAAGATGATGTGGAGAAGAACTTGGTTTCTGTTGGAGGTTCTAAAACGCGGTTACAGCTTCATATTCACGGTAAACTTCTAATTTTTGTCTTCTTTAATCAAATATTTTAACCACCACGCTTAAGTGTCTGCTATAATGATGCATAAAACGAAAGGAAGTACTGATTAAAATGCTTCTGCTCTCGATAGACCTTAATTACCCTTAAGTTTGTCTTTTTTTTTATTTTCTTTTAAATATTTAGAAGTGAAATCAATTGACAATAGCCTTTTTTTTTCTTTTTAATTCCATTTAGTTAAATTAGAATGGAGTACAAAAACATAGAAACCTAGGATGAGAAATCTTTCATACATCGGATACAAATGATGCTCTTTTTAATTAGAAGTATGTCTTTGTGTGTGCTAGTTTTATATTGTCTTTATTTTAGAGCCACTCCTTTAAAACTTTACGAGTTACGGTAAATATTGCGGGAGAAAGTTGACAAAGAATTTTTGTATGCACTCCTAATTGAAGTTTTTGATGGTGCAATTTCCAATTGTTAAGAACAAAATTCAGAACATGTTTTCAATTATGACTTGGCATGCCCCAAAAGAAGAAGGCAAAACAATCTAGGCTTGGCAAATAGGGTGGCAGTTTGTGAAGATGGGATGGGTTGTGGCCCCCGTGGGCAGTCATAGGACGGGTGGATGATGGTGGCGGTGGTGGAGAGAGATATTTAGGGGTTAATTATGTTCATAGATTGACTTTGTTTAGGAAACCGAGGGATAAAGACTATTTCAAAACAACATAATTGATTGGCTCATCGAAATAAAAAAGATAAATGCTCGTTTATACAAAAATAAAAAATAAAATCATGAAACAAGTCTCCGATGGTGCCACGTTGCTTTCTGCACAGTATGTTGCAAGAAGTTTGGGAAAGTCCTTGAGTGGAACAGCAACAGATGGCAGAGATGTCGACCTCTCATCAATCACATGAAAACAGTGAAAGACAATGATGAAAAACAAGCTTCGTTTTAATATTAAGTTCTTTTTCTGGTCCGTTGACATCTGTATATACAGAACATACATATACATACATATATATTTATTGCCGACACTTTTTTTTAACCAAATATCTTATGATTTATTTTCAATCTCTTTTTCTTCTGTTGTGTATACTCATTTGGGAGGAGGAATAAATCCCTCACCATGTCACTTTCCAATAAGCTTCAATACACAAATTCTTGAGATTTAGTCTTGCAGGAATTATATGGGTTGGAGAAGTCATCTTTGAGTGCCCTTCTTGTACGGCTCTTTAAGAATTTTCTCGACTATGCAAATTAATCAGACGGCCCCAATGATGGAGCCGTGATTGACAATGACAATTTAGCTTTTTTTTCTTCGACAATTAAGAGTATCGGACCCGTTTTTCCTTCTTTCGCTATCTCTTAAATGTTCATATGTTTCTTGATTTCTTGCTCCTTCCTTTAGTCTTTGTGAGTATCTCTTGTGGTCTCGGTGGGGAACAAAGACTCGTGCATCACATGCTTGAGTTGAGAAATATATCATCGTCCACTGCCCTGTGAATACGGATATTGGTTGTCGTATGATAGGTTACACACACAAAGCTCAACAAGTCTTAAATTTGATTAGCGTCGAATAACTATTTATAAACGTGTATTTTCCATTAACAGTTTGACAACATAATATAACATATGCCAAGTATGTTATATTACATATACGATAATTTTTTCTTTTCAAATAATTTGACGTATGTTATCATATTTTCAATATGTACTGTTCTAAACGAGAATGCACCTTTTATTGTAACAGGACACTGATGTTTTGTGGCTAAGGAACCCGTTCTCAAGACTAAGCCAGAACGAAACTGAGGATTTGCAAATAAGCACAGATATGTTCTTTGGAGATCCATGGAACCAAACACTAATCAACACTGGCTTCTACCACATCAGATCGAACAACAAGACCATTGCACTGTTTGATAGATGGTACACCATGAAGGACAATGCCACGGGACAAAAAGAGCAGGATGTCCTATTAGACCTAATCCGAAGGGGGATCATTGGGCAGCTGGGACTTAAGGTTAGGTTCTTGGACACCCTCTATTTCAGTGGCTTTTGCCAAGATAGCAAGGACTTTGGGGCAGTGACCACTGTCCATGCCAACTGTTGCCGGAGCATCGTGGCCAAGGTTAAGGACTTGAAGGCTGTCCTCCGGGACTGGAAGCAGTTCAAGAAGACCACGGCCCAGAAAACAACTGCCGGTCTAGCAGCAGATGGTTTCCAATGGTCAGGCCACTGGGGATGCTGGAATTCATGGAAAGTTCCTAATGACACTGGGAAAGCAACTCATAAGGCATGAATGGTCTAAAGAGAAAGATTAATCATAAAAGAAACAATTTTTTTTTCTTCTAGGTGTAAGGGTAAGTTCTCTACCACTATAAGCCTCCACACAAATAGTTCGTTGAATACATCTTAGGTTATCGCTTCTTCTTTTCTCATTATTATCAAAATAAATTTATAGGTAATTTAAAAAGGGTAAATTCGGAAACTGTAGTATAAATTAAGGATTTAGAATGTCTTATAGGGGTCTTCTCAGTATTTCTTAGAGCATTGTTTTATTTTCTCCCATTTATTTAATGAAATTACATAAACCACATTCATCAATCACATTGTAAAGACTATCCATGATGAATAAAAGTGTGATTTGGGCTGTGGATTCAACAGTAAATGCATTTTCAAATTATGGTATCGGCAAATTTATGGCTCATCCAGTGATAGTGTGTGAATATATAGTTGAGTTATTTACACTAACATCCTTTGAGATTTTCGACTTTTTCATAAAACTCCTTTAAAATTTACTGAACATCCCTTGAGGTTTTAAATTGTTTTCACAAAATTCTTTTTCATTGATTTTTCATCCAAAGATCGATGATTTTATACCAAAAAAATTTATCCAAATGACAAAATTGGCCTTTGAGGGTAGATTGCTATACTTCATTTATGCATGCACATGGGTGTGTTAGGGCTTCACAAATTGAAAACCTATTTTCATATTATTTCTCATAATAAAATTATTAAATATGTTCTCTTTGCTTCGCAAATTATGCAACATTGACACAAAGAAATGGAATCCCCCATATCATTTCTTTATCAGTATCATACTTTGAAAATGATTATAAATATTGTGCATCCAACGAAGAATGTTTTCTTAAATATAATAGTATAGATGTTGGAGCAAGACATTTTCTCAGACCGTAGGCTTCCAAAATAATAACCTGAAAAACTAATGAATTTCTGGGGTGAGGGGCATTGTTAGTGTGTTGCTCAAGGATTCTGCAAAGATCCAGTAAGTAAACTAGTTGAATTGAACTTAAAGTGAAAATATCTAGAGCTCTAGAGCAAGAGGTTTATAGTTTTAAGTGGTTAAAAGCAGTTACTCCTGCATCCAGGCTATGTTCGAATCTCCTCTCCCAGTAACGCTTGTATAAAAAATAAAAAGCTAGAGCCAGGAATTGCATTCCTTAGTTTGTTCATGTGGTGCACTAGCTTCACGTGCACATGCATCCCGGGGTTCTGAAATGAGAAAACCTCCCCTGATAGATTCGAAAAAGATATAACATCCCTTTCTGAGCTTGGACCTTCTAATACTTGTTCCTTGGGACCATAGGCATTATATTTTATGACAGGTTTTACTTGGGGCTCATGTTCCTCTAAGAATCCTTCACTTGTGTGCGTCCCACCTCGGCCCATCTAAAACCAAGTCCGACCTTCTAGAGGTATTTTAATCTTTTCCTCTTTTAACACCAACATGCGCAAGACACCATTTTTACTAGTCTTACATTAACGGTAGCTATGAGGAGTCCGACCTTTTTGAGGTATTTTAATCTTTTCCCTTTTAATACCAACATGTTTATGCCACTATTTTTTTTTAGTCTTACATTAACGGGAGCTTCTACAATGAGGAGTTTAGAGTGAGAAGCTTATTTGAGGGATTCGATCCAACCATCAAACCATTTAAAATGTTTAAGTTCATTGATTTCCTCACATTTGTTGATGGTGAGATTGAACCCTTTAAATAAACACCTCACTCTAAACTCCTCATTATAACTTTTCTGTACATTAACTTAACAAAGAATTTTTGGTTACCTTTTGGGAGGCCTAAAAGATAAAAACTCTAGACTAAAAAACTACTATGTGAGGTTTGGTTACAAGAGGTGAGTTTCTAATCTCCATTACGAATTTGAATAATTACTGATTTCTATTGAGAGGTGTTGAATTTTGTTGAGATAGTGACGTAACCACTAGAATTTGAAGATAAGTTAAATGTTAAGATTATTTTTAAAGTAAATTTTCATATAGAAGTTTAGTTTATTTTAAATATGATAGTCATATTTGTTTGAGGACCTTTTCTATTGAGAAGAGCGATAGTATACTAAATTCTGTTGAGGCCCAAAAAATCCAAGGCTAGGCCCAAATATATTCCCGGCCTAATGCGATACCTTACCGAGAAAAAACCTGATTTGGGCACTCGAAAGTTCGTCATATGCGCTTGCACACATACCACGCAAAGCAAATCAGCAACATGCCACGCTACAAGCTTAAGTGGGCCCAAGCCAAGCAAGATGCACGGGGCTTGCTTGAGTGGGTTGTGGTATGAATGGTAATAAATTGACACGAGGCCCATTGATGGGCTAAGAAATAGAAGTCCCGGGTTGCTTGGGAGCCTCGGAACTCAAGCCCATTTCTTAGGCCCAAACATGTGGGTGAGCACAAAAGAGAAAAAATAGCCCATTACCTCAACCAAAGTAGCCCATTAACTCAACCAAAATAGGCCAACACTTGATAAGGTTAGTTCAATTACTTGGTAAATCAACTTGTTGTCTTAAAAGGCACATACAATTACAATAAAGAGCTGTAAAAGCCCCAGCACTTGGCTGGAAAACAAAAATCCATGAAGGGAAGTCTGGAGGTCCACTACGCAGAGCTGCTGGGAGGCTCCAGCACATGGGGAGGAACAAGTTTCAAGCAAAAAACATCCAAATGACCAAGGGATATTGGCCCGCAGACTACTAGGAGGGGAATCACCCTTTGAACCAGCATGCGTACTCATTTCTTTCCCTCATCAGACCTGGCCATGGAAGAATGAAGGAAAGAAAGGAATGATATGCTGAGAATAGGAGTTCTCCACTGAGGCAGCTGCGGGAAGAGCATTGAGCTCCCAAAAATCCATGATTTTGTGAGATTGGGCATATAGGATTTTGCCATAGTAAGATAAGTCAAAGAAAGGGAGGAAAAATGAAGAAAAAAAAATGGCTAAATTGGATAGAAACCATTAGGGTTTTTTGGAAAAGGATTGCTTCTAGCGCCTATAAAAAGAGGCATTTCCTACCCATCATCTCAATCCAGATCTAGAGAGCAAGTTATATCTCTCACCTCTGAAATCTCTGCAATTTCGAGCCTCATCCTTCCATATCTCCCTATTTTCCTTTTTGGTAAACTGTTCCAAAGCTTGACAGAGTTTTCGTTGAGCTGCCGGAAACTACCCAGCACAACCATTACTTCATCACTAGCTAAAATAACCACATCCAGAGAGCAAGCTTCCTCTCTCACCTGCAAAACCCAACAAATTCGTGTTCTATTCATCATTTTCCCCCATTTTCCCTCTTCTAGCCGACTATTTTAACACTTGACAGAGCCTCTGGCAAGCTGCCGGAAAAACACTCAAGCCACCAATTCCTCTCTCTTTCCCTCTCAGCCAAACCTTCCTGCAAACCTTTCTTCTCTTACCTTAACACCCCATTTTTTCCCCCAAGAACACATAACTTTCTCTTCAGTGCTAAACTCATGTCAATTTTGCTTTCATGTCACAAGCCTCTCATGTCAAGCTAGAAAATCTATCTGTAAGTTGTTGTTATTTTTGTTGGTGAAGGTAACCAAGGTGTTTCCTAAGGCATCTCTGTCCTTTCGAAGCATTTTGAGGCTTGATCTTCGAACTCAAACACATGGGATAATTTCATCCATTTGCTCTTTACGGCAGCTCAGCCTATTTACAGCTGCCGGAAGAAAAAGCCCCTACAAATTCACACACATTACACATATGCTAGGACTCGAACCCAAAACTTTTTCTAGGAGAGTAATTACTCCAAACTACTACACTAATTGATCATTTACAAATATGATAATCATATTTAAAATATGATGATACGAGACAAAAGTTCTTTGGTTCATATTAATCCTAGAAAACATATGAAATGAAAAAAAAATATGCTAAACAAAGTGTAAACAATATAGGGTGGCCCATTAGCTGGACCATTTTGCATTGCCTTGTGATTCATCTGAAATTGGTTTGTGGAGGGGTCATGCGTTTCTTACCAAACTAATTCATATATCTCACCTTGATACCAATAAATATTCAATATATACTAATGATATAGAATAAGATTGGTTGATGATATTGTTGGAATTATTCTCAGGTTTATCTTTTCTTTGTTACAAGCAATACTCAGGAAGGAAAAATCCAACATAAACTTTCATATACAAAATGTGTTTCATTCCTTAAACTGCACGAGCCTTATAAAATTATTTTTTATAAATACGGAGAATGCACATCCTTTCGTACCTTTTGGATTGCAAATGACGTCTCCAAATGCGTGTATATATTTTCTCATGACTGTAAGAGAAAATTTGTCAAAAATTATCTCAATATAGCACGAATTCGACTCTTGATTGACTCTCTATTTTCATATTCCTTTATGCTCAATAGTAGGTCCATAATGCTTAACAGATATGTTGAATATGGCACTTCCTCCATGCAATCAATGGGGGCACATCATCAATTAATTGACAATGAGAGTGTGTAGGTTTAAAATCCAAGACTAAGTTTAACCTAGTATGTGTAGTCATTGGGCTAATACATGAATTGCATATTGCTTTGATATCATAGTAGAAATTAGTAAGAACTTCTAACCCAAATCCAGTTAATAATCAGCGGGAGAGTCCAAAGACCTAGGTAAGTTATACACTTAGAATGTGGATGTATTTCTCCACACAACAATTAGTTGCATAGACAATTTTCATGAATAATTAGCCATTTAGATTAAGCATTATAATCAAACAGATCATTTAATAGTCACAATACAACCGTCTCTCACAAATTTAGTATGGACCTCACAAGTAAGCGCATTCACAATACGACAATCTCTCCCAAAATAACGGGACTCACGTATATCTGCGAGACCCACAAGCACTAGAAGAGACGGTTTTATTATGACTCCCGCTTTGTGTAGCCTCAAAGTTTACTCCGATGGGTTTGTGCACAGTGCACCCCGCATGGAGCGGGCAACCCAACAAGATCCAATA